AGACATTGAAATAATTAGGTAATAATATCTTTGTGGTACCTCCCACCTGACAGCTCGGGTGACGCTGACCGCCTCTGACGACTGCTCTGTCAACGCCCACATTTTTCCAGACTTCCTCGGCCTATTGCAGCCAAAATATGTCACCTATGATTTATTTTTTATTTTTCCCGTGCTCAGAAAACACAAATTAACATATTTAGAAGACAAAATTTTTTTTAGAATTTTTTTTTCTTGGGCACGGGTATAAATCTCCTCTAGACCACTTAGCAGCTTAACCACTGTGCTGCTCGTCTTCCAAATACGGCACCCCCCTCCCTGTGCGCAGGAAATAAGTCCACAGGGAAAAAATTATTTTTGTTTTTGAAAAGTTAAATACCCTTCCCTGATCAAAGATATGTAAAAAAAAACAGCGTTGAATGTAATGAAACGCCATTTTCTGGGTGAGACCCAGAGGCTCCCCGGAGCTTACTAGGCTAATATGCTAATGTCAGACTTTGGCATTAGTCATGTGTATGGAGTTCTGTGGGCCAACCGGGGACCATGAGCCAGAACCTGGCCCCCTCAGAGAGGCATGGGAAGCAATGGCCTATAGACACCCCGTGTGGTTGGAAGCATTCTATGTCTGCCATCGACCGGGTCAGGCACCCCAGAAAGGTAAGCATCCCAAAACAAATCACTATTCTGGTGAAAATATTGCTACCAAAAGCTGAACAAGTGGATAGAACTCCCCCTAAAAGAAATGAGCAAACGAGCATGACGTCACACGTCGCCGCACCGCTGCCTGTGCAGCTCCCCCCTCCCCGGGAGGGGGAAGGGGAAGCCCCAGACCCCACACACCGGCTATCCACCCTTTAGTTCTTAGGCTGGATGTCAAAACACGCAAAAAAAAATGCTGACCGGAGGGAGGGAGGGATGCCGGGAAGCCTCTGGGCCTCACCTAGAAAATGGCATTTCATTACATTCAACACTGGTTTTCTGGGGGGAGCTCCTTCGGTTTTCCGGAGCTAACTACCCCACAGAGGAAAACATAGGGACTTACCCGGGAGGTGGTCGCTGCTCACTCCTCAACTCAAAGTCGAGACAACTGGCTGCAGCCGCCGACTCAAAGTGACACAGGCCCGACGAGGCTCAGGGACGTTCACTAGGTAACGAGCAGCCAGGACCCTGTTCGACCGCTAAAAGCCCCGTGCTTGAATGTCACCCCAGGACATGTTGCCAAAGACGGCAGCAAGATATGTTGCCAAAGATGGCAGCAAGTGCACGGGGATAGACCGCAGACTGGCTAGCCTTAATAACTCTGCGGACGACCTGGAAGACCCGCACCCGCGAACAGGGAAGAAGAGAAACAGGATCAACCCAAAGGGTGTCCCCGGACACAAAAGCCGTGGCACGCAATTAACGGCAAAGAGCCGCAACCGGAAACAAAACATGATGCACCCCCGGCCTGACCAACCAAGCATCAACAACCCAGGGACAACTCCGGAAAGCAGCAGTCTCATTCTTCGCCAGAAAAGAAGGAGACGGCTGCAAACGAACAAAACCATCACGAAGACCGAAGGAGCTGAAACCCCTACAATAGAGGAGAGCATTAAGTTCCCCAACCCAACCCCCAGAGGCCAATGCCAACAGAAAAAAAAGAGCCTTAGAGAAACAATCCTGAACCAAAGGGGCCACAACAAACCGAGGAGAAGAAAGAAAAGAAAGCACTCTGTCCAAAGACCAGGACGGCTCAGGCGACGCATGAGCAGGCCGGAGGTGAAACAATGCACGAGACAGCTTGCGAAACAGCGCAGAAGTAACATCAATACCAAAAACAAGCTAAAGCGGCTCCACCAGCGCAGCACGATAAGAGGCGACAGTGTTAGGCATAAGGTGATAGTCCTGGAACAACCAAGACAGAAAGGACAACACTACCCAAACAGAAAGCGAAACACAACGACGAAGACATAAAAAATAACTGGAAGGACTGCCAGGAGACCTCATACTGCCACCGAGACGAAACCCACAGGTGGGAAACCAACAAAGAAGCCATATGACCACCATAGAGATGATGATAAACCCGAGTCAAAAATACTATACACAAAGACTCTAGAAGATCGAACCAGCCACGTGACGCACCAGGCCGATCTTTTGGAAGAGGCGAAGCTGCGGGAAAACCTCCAGGTTCGGACACCGGGCAAGTAGTGCCTGAAACCACGGCTAAACCGGCCACCATGGGGCCAAGAGGACTTCTCTCCCCTGGTAGGTCTCCAAGCGAGTCAGGACCTGGAGCAACAGCTGAACTGGGGGAAAAAGGTACAGGAACCCCCCACCTCGACAAGTCCTGCCGAAAGGCATCGACCCCGACAGCCTCGCAATCGGGGAAGGGTGCCACATACTGGGGAAGGTGCCTGACCACGCTGATGCGAAGAGGTCCACCTCAGGGTGCCCGAATGTCTAGCAGGAGGAGTCAGCGTCGACTGTCCATTCCGTGGAGAGGGGAATGAAACGAGACAGGCTGTCGGCCAAGACGGTGGACACTCCCCGCACATGAACAGCCAAGAAAGCCAAACTCCGAGAACTCATCAGACGAATTACCCGAAGAGACCAGCGCCAAAGAGCCAAGGACCACATCGAACCCCCTCGGTTCAGGCAATAAACCACCGGTAAGCAGTCCGAATGGAGCCGGATCGTCGATCCGCGGGCGGCCCGAACCCTCCGAAGCGCAAACCACACTGCCGCGAACTCCTGCACCGCGCTGTAGGCCCGACGGAAGGATGTACCCCACTACCCCAGGCCGACCTGGTGAGCACTGGTCACAAAGCCCCAGCCAAGAGACTACGCGTCTGTGAACACATCGAGCAAGGGCTCGGGCAGGCGCCAAGGTACTGAACCCCGAAAAACCCAAAGAGGAAGCCGGCAATGCAGCAGCCGACGCAAGGCCCTCGGGGGTCAAACCCAGCGATTATTGGAGAGGCGGAAGGGACATACGCGAAGGAACAAGAACAGCCGACGAAGCCAAACCCAACCCGGCGTGTAGACCAACATCGCGAAGTTCAGGCTCCCGCACAAACCCTGGAGGAACCGCCGAGTGACCCGGGAGCCCCTTAGAAACAGGCGCAAGTGGGACCGCAGCCGGAGGAGAGACTCTGGAGGAAGAGACAAGGAAGTGGTCCGAGAGTCCCACACAAGACCCAGCCACGACCGAACCTGGGAGGGCACAAGATGGGACTTCCTCCAGTTCACCAAGAACCCGAACCCGGCGAGCTGGGAAAGAACCAAATCCCTGGCTAGCAGACAACTGGACCGACTGGGAGCCGAAGCCAGCCAGTCATTGAGGTAGGCCAACACCCGAACATCTAGAAGATGCAGACGGGCCACGATGACCCGCGTAAGGCGTGTGAACGTGCAAGGCGCCAGATTCAACCCGAACGGGAGACAACGAAGACGATAACCTCAACGCCTCACAACAAAACTTAGCCAGTCCCTGAACCCCAGATGAATCGGGACATGCCAATAAGCGTCCCGGAGGTCCAGGTGACACCATCCAAGAACCTAGCCCCAACAGGAGCTGAACCTGAGACAGCGTAGTCATCCGAAAGGAGGGGCAATGAACCCAGGGATTCAGATGGGACACATCCAGAATGAACCTCAGCTCCGCTCAGTCCTGTTTCGGCACTGGAAACAGACGGAAAACCCATCTGAGGGACGACATCGTTTCGACGACGCCCAAGCGAACCCACTCCAAGACGACTCGGTGGAGCATAGGAGAAGAGGCCTGCCCCGCCAGCCCCGAACCCACCAAAGGAGGAGGGGTTATCTTGAGATGATTTCTGGGCTTAGTGTCCCCGCGGCCTGGTCCTCAGCTAGGCCTCCACCCCCCAGGAAACAACCCGTAGCAGCTGTCTAACTCCCAGGTACCTATTTACTGCTAGGTAACAGGGGCATCAGGGTGAAAGAAACATTTTGCACATTTGTCTCCGCCTTCACTGGGGATCGAACTCGGAACCTCAAGATTATGAATCCAAAGCGCTGTCAACCCAGCTGTCAGGGGCCGCCCAACTCCACCGCAGGCCGAAGGAAACAACCCGAAACGCCCACAAATTGTGAGACCAGGTGTGAGCGAACAGCGAAAGCCTCACCCCCATCGCCCCGTCAATGGGGCGAACCACGAAAGGACCGGTGCCAAGTACCGAGCAGTAAACGGCACAATGGAGATAGATCCTGAGGTGACTTGTGGAAGGAGGCCCCCAAGCCCCAAGGGCAGTACTTACAGGGCACCTAGGGAAGGGAACCTTAGGCACATGCAGCCCGAGTACCGTGGAATACGTCTCCCAGCCCACACCACAAGGCACAGAATTGAAACAAAAACCGGAGCCAGAGGCACGACTGCACCAGACTTCCATCAGCCTAAGAACTGAAGGTTGGATCGCCGGCGGGTGGGTCTGGGGCTCCCCCTTTTCCCTCCTGGGGAGGGGGGGGATTGCGCAGACAGGGGAGCGGCGACATGATGACATCATGCTAGTTTGCTAATTATCGTTTAGGGAGTTTTGTCCACTTGTTCGGCCTTTGGTTGCAATAGTTTTACCAGAATAGGGGTTTGTTTTGGGGCGCCTACATTTCGCCATTGCTCCTCGTGCCTCTCTAGAGGGGGCCAGGTTCTGGCTCGTGGTCCCCGGTAGGCAAGAACTCCATGCATTGACTGATGCCAGAAAGATATACATATCCATTCAGCCTGGATAGCTCCAGGGAGCTGACGGGGCCCAGAAAATTTCCCCCACAAAATTAAGTTTTGAAATACCTGGTGCATACCTGGAGTTCTTCTACTCCCCGAGCCTGGCCTGGCTCAAAGATTAAATACTGCAGTGCTATAAGAAATCGGTGCTGTGCATGGCAGCGTTAATGAGGCATGCATGTATAATATCCAGTACATTAAAGTAAATACAGCAGTGTAAACTTAAAACAAAAAACATCTTCAATATTTTAACATTATAATATTTAAAAGAATTTGCTGAACTTACTTTGTCAGAGGTCCCAGTAGCTTGTTGATAACCTGTGCCAGGGCGTTCAGTGGCGCAAGCTTCACACCCAGGCCTTGTCCACATGTTGACTAGCGTGCACCTTGGACACACCCATCCATGGATCTTAGTGGGTGAAGGATCTTCTGCCAAATCCACTTGTTGCTCAGATAACTGATGAGTAACTGGATCTTTATCCCTAAGACATCTTTGTTGCTGGGGTGTTTCATGCTCTGGTTTTCTTGATTTCTGATGAGATTGTGTCTGAAGTGCAAGTTGCAATGGTTGACTGTGCTGTAGCTGCAGAGGCTGCTGCTGAGGCTGTTCTACCGTCTGTGGTGATTCAGAAGTGTGTTGCTGTGATGGCTGGGATATTTGAAGCTGGTACGGCTGATGATGTAGTGGCTGGGATGTCGCCTGTTCTAATAACTCGTTTGAATTATTCTGTGATGGTTGTGTTGAGCATTGTTGTGACTGAGATGGTGGAAGCTGTAGTTTTGATGAATGCTGCTGAGATTGTTTTGATTGGGGTAGCTGATGTTGCACTTGTGTCGGTGCTTCCAGGATATGAGTTGGAGGTGGGAAAGTCTTTTGCTGCTTAGGTGAATACTTCAGTGGATGTGACTGTGATTTACTGTCTCTGTTATGAGGTTCCTGGGTAGGTTTTGGCAAATCAAACTTTTGTGAACCACTATTATTATGTGGTAAACATAGAATGTGTTCTTGTGTGTTTTGAGCTGGGATTGACTCTTTGGATTCTGGAGATATTACATGCTGATTAGATGGGGACTGTTGTTGCAATGTCAACTGTTGATCCTGCTGCCTCTGTTGTTGTGGGTGTAGTTGTTTTGTTTGTTGAATTTGTTCAAGTTGTTCACCATTAGGCACAGTCTCATGATGTTCTTTCTCTTGGTTCAAGCTTAGAACAGGATCAGACACTTGTCTCTTAACTGACTGAAGTGACCGTCTATAACTTTCTTGACTGTGCCCCTGTAGACTACTTTGGCTGTGAGTATTATCATTTTCAACAGTTGTTGCATAATTAGTTTGACTAGTAGATATTGCATTAGAATTTATAATAGGATTACTATTTTGACTAGAAACACTAATGGTATTATTGGCCCTACGAGATTCATTTAAAGGAGGGGGCAATGAATAATTTTCCTCCCGTGATTGTAAAGATACTGATCTATATATTTTATTTACATTTTGATGTAAATTAATTTTACTACTTGGAGATGAATTGTATGTAAGTTGATTATTATCTTTCTCTGTTTTACTGAGAGTCACATTCTCATAATATTCCTCTTCTTCCTCTAACGTATCTTCATCACTATTATCATCGTCACCACTAATATCACTGTCATCTACATCAACACTAACTTCATATTTATCTGTATCTGGATTATAAAACCTATATTCTACATTTCCTTCTTCATCAAAGGCTTGTAAGTACCTTGGATGTTCATTCTCGTTCGCAGTTCTTACGTCTGCATATCGGTTTTCAGGTAATTTAACACCACTGCCTCTAGACGTGACAGCCTTTTCAGACGGTTTCTGTGCCTGAGCCTTTGGCTCAGAATCAGGTGCTACTAAGTAAAGGAAAATTGGACAGCCTTCTGTGGTTACCTTGTGGTGCTCCAAGGTTTGATTGTCATCATCTGCCAAGCGTCTTCCCAGGATCCATCTCTGAACCTCTGGTGGGAATCCAAAGTCATGACAGACCTGGAAATTGTAAATATTAATCAGCAAATTAAAATAAAAAATGCCAACAATGGAATAATGATGTGGAAATACAACTATATAATTAATAACGTATTTATTCATTGACTTTTATCTGCACGTGCGTCATGTGAGTCACTCATGCAAATATGGTTAATAATAAAAACAGAACCTTGGATGAGTTCCGCTCACTAGGAACAACAACCTTTTCAGCTTCCATCTTCAACAAAGAAAGGGAAAGCTCATGGATATCAGAGAAGAAACACACCAATGAGGGAAATGCCTGCTATAACCCACAAAAACATTCAAATTCTCAAACTTATATTGAAAGTTGTTTGGCAACACTGTGCCACCAAACAACATCCTATAGCAATCAAAACACTACACCTGATTCATTGGCAACTACCAGGAGGTACCACACTAGATACAAGAGTCAGGGAGGCCACATCATTACACCCACCTCTAAAGGTCAAACTAGGTTCAAATGATAAGAAAGGAGTTACTGAGGCTGCCCAGAAAGACGCATTTCATTACAATTACAGTACAACCTCGATTCAACGCACTATATGGGACCAACCCCAGTGCGTTGGAGTGTTGGATTTGTTACAAGAGGTGACCTTCAGGAGGCGTTTGTGTCAGTGTCTTTTTTTTTCTTGTAAACAATAAAAATGCATTATCATATTATATACTGTACATATATATTACTACTCTACTAAAAAAAACTGTGTTACAGTTGTTATTTACCTTATTATTGGAGTTATGTCCATCTTGAATTCTCATGGAGTTGTGAATGCTGTACAGTAAATGTATAGTATGTATACTATACGTACTGTACGTACTGTACATATACATAATACAGTACGTACTGTACTGTATTATGCCGTTAGCACTGTATTGATAAGTAGTTCTGCTGTATGTTGAGTACTACAATACAGTTTATGAAAACTATTTTACACTAAAATTACTGTACTGCAACCTTGATTTGAACACTAACACAATGCACTTAAATTTAGCACTTATTCTAACTGTACACTACACACACGATGTTCTTAGATGTTTGCATCAGCTTTGCTGGTACTCGCTGCTGCTGTGTTTGCTTCAGTTGCTTCTGAGCTGGTGCTGGCTGCTGCTGTACTGGTGTTGGGTATGGCTGTGTTCGTGGTGGGTACGGCTGTGCTGGTGCTGGGTACGGCTGTGTTTGTGCTGGGTACAGCTGTGCTCATGCTGGGTAAGGCTGTGCTTGTGCTGGGTATGGCTGTGCTCGTGCTGGGTACGGCTGTGCTCGTGCTGGGTAAGGCTGTGCTCGTGCTGGGTATGGCTGTGCTCGTGCTGGGTATGGCTGTGCTCGTGCTGGGTATGGCTGTGCTCATGCTGGGTACGGCTGTGCTCATGCTCAGTACAGCTGTGCTCGTGCTGGGTATGGCTGTGCTCGTGCTGGGTATGGCTGTGCTCGTGCTGGGTACTGATTTGCTCATGCTGGGGACAGCTGTGCTCATCCTGGGTACGGCTGTGCTCGTGCTGGGTATGGCTGTGCTTGTGCTGGGTATGGCTGTGCTTGTGCTGGGTACGGCTGTGCTCATCCTGGGTATGGCTGTGCTTGTGCTGGGTACAACTGTGCTCATGCTGGGTATGGCTGTGCTCATGCTGGGTACAGCTGTGCTGGTTGATTTATTGCTACTAGTTCTTGCAAAATATTGCTTAATTTTTGCCATTAATAAGGCACTATTAGCAAGCCTCTGAGACATCTTGTTGTATAACAATACAGCTGTAGTCAAAAAATGATAAATTTCATGATTATTCTTCCACCGGCGGAGAAATACATCAATCGCAGACAAAGCTAAGGGCACTGGGTGACTACTGTACGAACGCAGACTTGGAATTCGGGTAGGAATTTGAGAGCATGACGTCACACGTCACCGCGCCGCTGTCTGTGCAGCTCCCCCCTCCTGGGAGGGGGAAGAGGGAGTATTGTGGAAGGAGGAATTTTGGTGAGGGAGGGAGAGAATTGAGATAGCCTCATTGTGTGTGTGTGGCAGCCACTCTTGTTTTGCTCACCATACTAGCTTAGTGGTTCGCTATGGGCAACACATGTACATGGGTATATACAGTGTGTGTATATAGTGTAATAACAGCACCAGGAGTATGTTGAGAGGAGCTATTTTGGTGAGGGAGGTTACGTCGTATTGTAGCGTCGTCTGCTGTCTGCTGTGTGATTTCTCATGCAGTGTATGGTGGCAACTGTACTGTTTGGACACAATACTGGTTTACTTGCATAGTTCTGGTAAATAAAACATGTAGATAGCTATATATAACATGTGTAAATAGTGTATTAAGAACAATAACAGTATGGTGGGAGGAGCAATGTTGACGAGTAAGATGTTGGAGTGAGGGAGACTGGCTGGGTGTGGCTGCTCTCACTTGAGGTGTTCTGAATGTGTTGATGGTGAATGTATATAGTATGTGACAGTGTATAGTGTGTAAATAGATTGTATATATATATACATAAATTAACATGATACACAGTAAATATGTGCAGCATATATGTACACAAGTGTCATGCATGTAACACATTGTCTTCGGACAGTACGGATGTTTTACTGCCATAATATAGTGTACGTGTTCATTATACATAGGATTAGCACGTAAAAACATATAAAATGTAATTAGAACTGTGTGCAAAAAAATGAACGTACAGTAAATATATTCGCGGCAACTCGCTCGCCCCGCCCTGTGCGCCCTACTGGCCCCGGGAGCATACGTTACGGGCGAACAGGGAATGATGACGTCACGCGCCAACTTACGGACCCCATAGCAGCCAAAGTAAGCACAATTTCGAATTTTTTTTTACATACCCATACTGAGGGAAGGGTTTTTGACACTTTAAAAAATCCAAAGAATTTTTTCCAGATAATTTATTTCCTGCGCACTGGGAGGGGGGTGTCATATTTGGAGGTAATGCAGTTAAGGGGTTAGAATTTCTCATTAGTGTACGAAAATGTATTTACCTTCTTTCGCAATTCCCCTACGGTCATGGATGATGTAACGGTGAATGTTATAGGTCCTTGATGGCTGTTCTTGTCCTCCACATACATCTTGACACTGAAAATTAAAAGATGTACAATATAATCTCCTGAATAATAAGATTACAAATGGTCTAACTTCTAGAATTTTGCAAATATTTGTACTCATAACCAGAGACTGTCAAAACAACTCCAAACTGGCAATTTTTGTCAAAAGTTAGAGCCTAATATAATTCACATACAAATTTGATTTCTAAGAATAATGAATAATAACTTTAAGGTTTTCATAAAGCATTGAGTAATGAAATGCATCTTCCTGGGTGGCACCTTATAGCCCTCTTAGCTTGCACCACTGGCACTGGAGGGCCATATCATATAATACTGGGTGCCAATCCTTAACTGTAGCCTCTGTTCACCCAATAGTAAATGGGTACCTGGTTGTTAAACGACTTAGCGGGGTCGTATTCCGGGGAAAATTAGGATTAAGGACTTGCCTGAAATGCTATGCTTGCTAGTGGTTTTACAGGAATGTAAGAACTCTTGTATATATATACTATACTGTATAAAAAAAAAAGTGTTGGATGTAATAAAATGCCATTTTCTGGGCGAGTCCCGGAGGCTCCCCAGAGCTATCCAGGCTTGTAGGGATATATTAGCTTTCTGGCATCGTTCCAATGTGCATGGATTTCTTGTCTACCCGGGACCACGAGCCAGAACCTGGCTCCCTCAGAGAGGCATAAGGAGCAATGGCCTATAGGAACCCCGTGTGGTTGGGAGCATTCTATGTCTGCCATCGACCGTGTCTGGCACCCAGAACGAGAGATGCCCCAAAACAAACCCCTATTCTGGTGAAAATATTGCTACCGAAAGCCAAACAAGTGGACAGAACTCCCCAAATGAAAATTAGCAAACAAGCACGATGTCATCACGTTGCCGTGCCACTGTCTGCGCAATCTCCCCCTCCCTGAGAAGGGGAAGGGGAACCCCAGACCATCATGCCGGCTATCCACCCTTCAGTTCTTAAGCTGGATGTCAAAATACACGAAAAACACCACCAACCGGAGGGGGGGAGGGATGCTGGGTAGCCTCCGGGACTCACCCAGAAAATAGCTTTTCATTACTGTACATTCAACGCTGGGTTTCTGGGGAGAGCCCTGTCAGCTCCCCAGAGCTAACTACCCAAAGACAAGGAAAAACAGGGACTTTCCCAGGTGGCGGTCCGTCCTCACTCCTCAACGCGAAGTCGAGACAACTGGCTGCAACCGCCGACCCATGCAACACAGGCCCTACCAGGTCCAGGGACATTGACAAGATAGCAAGCAGACCAGGACCTTGTCTGACCTCCAAAAACCCCTGTTACCTGAATGTCAATCCAAGACATGTTGCCAAAGACGGCAGCCAAAGCAGCAAATTTACGAACATCGTGGGCACGAGGATAAACCGCAGGCTGGCTAGACTTAATAACCCTGCAGACGGTCTGGGAGACCCGAGCCCGAAACAGGGAAGGAGGGAAGCCGGGTAAACCCAAAGCTCATCCCTGGCCACTGAAGCCGTGGCATGCAAATAACGACAGAGAGCTGCAACCAGACACAATACATGATGCACCCCCAGCCTGACCAACCAAGCAACAAAAACCCAAGGATCCCTCCAGAAAGCAGCAGTCTCATTCTTCGCCAGAAAAGGAGACAGCTGCAACTGAACAAACCTACCACCAGGACCAAAAGAGCATAAACCCCTGCACCGAAGGAGAGCATGAGGCTCCCCAACCCGACCCTCAGAGGTCAATGCCAACAGAGAAAAGAGCCTTAGAAAAATAGTCCTGAACCGAAGGGGCCACAACAAACCGAGTAGAAGAGAGAAAAGAGAGCACCTGGTCCAAAGATCAGGACAGCTCAGATGGCACATGAGCAGGCCGTAGGTGAAACAATGCACAAGACAGCTTGCGGAACGGAGCAGACGTAACATCAATGCCGAACGTAAGCCGTAAGCCGTAGAACGTAAGATGATGGTCCTGAAACAACCACGAAAGGACAAAACAACCCTATCAGAGACCAAAGGGCACCTACACAGTGATAAGAAAAACTGGAAGGACCACCAGGAAACTTCATACTGCCGAGACAAGGCACGCAGGTGGGAGATCAACAACGATGCCACCTGCGCTCCATACAAGTGATGATAGACCCGAATCAGAAACTCCAGACGCGAACACTCGAGGGAGAAGATCGAACCAGCCTCGTACTGGGCTGGACCGATCTGCTGAAAGAGGCAAAGCCGTGGGAAGACCCTTGGGTTCCGACACCGAGCAAGCAGCGCATGAAACCAAAACTGGGCCGGCCACCAAGAAGCCAGGACAACTCTCCCCTGGTAAGTCTCGAAACGAGTCAGGACCTGGAGCAACAGCTGAACCGATGGAAAGAGGTATAGGTAACCCCACTTCGCCCAGTCCTGCCTGAAGGCGTCGACCCCAATGGCAGTAAAGTGTGATGTTTGCTTGTTTCCTTGTGATTGTAGGGAGTTTCTACCTCTCTGTTCAGTTTTTTGTTTTAGTTTTTTACCATGTGGGGTTTGTTTTGTTATGCCTACCTTTCTGGGTGCCTAACCCCGCTCGATGGCAGATAAGGAAAACCCCAACTACAAGGGGGTTTTCCAGGGCCATTGCTCCTTGAAACCTCTCTGAAGGGGCCCAGGTTCTGGCGCTGATCCCTGGTAGGTCTGAACTCCATAGCTAAAGTCCCGGTCTAATATAAAGTACATTAGCCCGATAAGCTCCAAGGAGCCGTAGGGGCTCCCCACAGAAAAATATTTTTTGGACATTGTAGAAAGTAACTGATAATAACGTTAGGCAATGTATTTATATGATATATAACAAAACAGAGCATAATAACATAATTACTCATTATTATTTGTGTTATTATGTATTACTCACCAATGCTATAAAGGCACCAGCTGTATATCCACTTTGTGGACACTTCTTACTACTATTCTTCTTCTTTGTGCATCGGACAGGTGCTTGTATCTCTTTATTATTGCATTATCCATCAGTTCCAGTTAATAGGGTTAATAAAGCCACTAGTATGCAAAGTGTTTTGGTCATAACTTAAAATAGAACTAAACACTTCATACTAAACCAAAATTTAACTAACATACTGTACATAAATTTTTAAAGAAAATAGCAAATGATATACAATATTTAAGTGACAATGATAAAAGGCATAGACTATTTATATTTAGTACAGTATTTAAAATATGCAATAACAGCAAAATACGAAAATGTTTTATTTTGGATGAAGATATGCAAGTTAAATTTGCTATATGATGTTAATTAGATATTTCTTAGTTTCTCTTATAAATTGGTTGAGAGAAGTACAGGTGTTTGTCTCATTTGGGAGGTCATTCCATAATTTGGGACTCTTAATTTGCATAGTATTTCTGCTTTGGTTAAGTCTCACTTCAGGAATATCAAATAGACATTTGTATCTCGTGTGGTGACTGTGAGTTCTGTTAGAACCCACTAGGAACCATTTGAAGTCAGGATAAACATTGCAGTTCAGAGTTTCATAGATATAGAGTACACTTGAGAGTGAGTGAAGTAACTTGTCAATATAAAGGTTAAAACTCAGATGAATTACTGTACTGGAATACCACTGTGAGAACAGGAAGCCTATTAGGATTATTAAGGTCCCCTAATAAAGGGCAAGGGTGTCATCATGATCACCCATCCCGCTACTGGCCAAGATCTGAATAACAGTATGCAGTTTAAACCATTACAGACATCACTAAACAAGAATGTTATGTAACTACTGTCAACACTTATGTATAAAAATGCAATAAATTCTGACTTACTTGAAAGGAAGCACTGCTTTATCAAGATCTTTCATATACATTGGAGGTCCATCAGGTAATTTGCTTATAGTATCAGATTTAACTTCACGTCTTGCTGGGTCTACTCGTGTGTCTCGTTTGGTTGCATGTAAACAACTAGTGTTCATGATATCTTCTAGGCTTTCACCACTTGTATTAACTTCTCCAGTGGCTGTTCCTGTTTGGGTATTATTCCGAGTGTGGTCAGAAGTTGATGTTAGGAGAGATGCTGGAGAGTGAACTGCAGAATTAGTAACTATTACTGCTTTTGAAGTTGGATAATTTAAAGCAACTTCTGTTTCAGGTGTTTGTATCTGATAGACATTGTGTTTAAAATTATTTAACTGAGCACAATTATCTAATTGATTGTACTCACTTATCTCTGTTTCTTCATTTTCTATAACATCTGTAGCATCATAAAAGCATTCTGACATATTACTAGTAGGAGTTTGAGTCCTGGGTATGTCTAGACTTCCATTTGAATTAATTAATTCAGCCTTGGAAAGCATCATGGGATTAGCAAGGTTGTCAGGGAATGTTGGCACGGTGACCTCATCGCTTGATTTATTTCTAGGATTGCGTGTAACAGAGCAGGACACCCTCAGCTCAGCCAGTTCATGGGCAAGCCGTGCAGCCTCTGCATGGTTACCACGAGCAATGGAACCCTCAAGACGTTTTAGAAGTCGGTTGATGTTGAGCGTATTGATCTGTCCTAATGTTGGCTCCTCAGCTCGCAAGGTTGCTGTGGAAATGACTCTGTATTAAAATTATTGATCCAAGAAAAAAAAAAAAAGAGTTGAATGTAATGAAACACCATTTTCTGGGTGAGCCCCGGAGGCTTACTGGAGCTATCCAGGCTGAATGGATATGTATAACTTTCTGGCATCAGTCAAAGTGCTTGGAGTTTTTGCCTACCGGGGACCACGAGCCAAAACCTGGCCCCTTCAGAGAGGCACGAGGAGCAATGGCCTATAGAAACCCCCGTGTGGTTAGGAGCATTCTATGTCTGCCATCGACCGAGATAGGCACCCAGAGAGGTAGGCACTCCAAAACAAACCTCTATTCTGGTTAAAATATGGCTACCGAAAGCCGAACGAGTGGACAGAACTCCCCAAACAAAATGATCTAACTAGCATGACATCACGTCACCGCGCCGCCGTCTGCGCAACACCCCCCCCTCCCCGGGATGGGAAAGGGGGAGCCCCAGACCCATCCGCCGGCGACCCCAACCTTCAGTTCTTAGGCTGGATGTCAAAATGCATGAAATACACTGCAGACCGGAGGGATGGAGGGATGCCGGGGAGCCTCCAGGACTTCACCCAGAAAATGGTGTTTCATTACATTCAACGCTGGTTTTCTGGGGGGAGCCCTGTCGGCTCCCCGGAGCTACCTCACCACATATAAGTAAAAGAGGGAAGGACCCAGGAGGCGGACGCCATGCGCCCTAACCTAAAAACAAGACCACAGACAAAAAGAAAAAACCCTGCAGACAACCCAGGAGACCCAAACCCCAGAACAGAAATGAGGGAAGGATAGGAACTGGGCAAACTAAAACGTGCATGTGACCCCAGAGGCCAAGATGCCTGTATCATCTGGGCACGCTGTCCTCTTGCAGGGTTTTTATTTTCTTTTTGTTTTCTCTGCCTAGTGGTGGGTCTACCCCTTGTTTGGTTGTACCCTTTTGTTCTTGGTGGCTCTCCGCTTGGCCCCCATGAGTGTACACGTCCCAGGGGTGCAGCTTTTAGCAGTTTGCTTGGTAGCTTTGGGTGCCAATTAGCTGTATCCTTCCTGGGCTACCCTTAGTGAAATACCACGACTAAGAGCCCTGGGAAACCCCACGGGGACTCTGTGGTATGATGGATGCGACCCCTGAGTCCCCTCTCGCTTCATGTGAGGTTGACAGCTGCTCTGTCCCCTTGTCTCTGGGTGACAATCATCAGTAGTACTTCCGCCATGCTGCCTGTAAGGGTTGGTGATTATTTTGACCCAGAGTTGTGTGACGTTTGTTGTTTGTACGTACTCCAGTTCACCCAAGCTACTGATCGTGATATACAAGTGCCGGCAGCTGAAGCGCTGAATGCTAGGTTTAGGTTACTGCAACGCGATAGGTTGGTTGCTGCCCCGGATGCCCCGAGACTGCCCCGTTTTGGTTATAGGGACCTGGACTTGGGGGTGGGAGTTGCTTCGACTTTGGTTCCGTCCACCCCTCCTTGCCCTTCCCCTTTCGGGTTTTCATCCAGTTCTTTCCCCCTTGCTTCCGGCTCCGAAATGTCTGAGGGTTTCGGAGTCAGGGTAGGGTTGGTGTTGAGACTCGGGCGGTCTCGGGGAAGTCCCCCTTCCGGGGTGGTGGTCGAGGCATTCGAGCCTGGTCCTCCACCCGGAGCTTCTGGATCTGACCAGTGGGCCCCCCTTTGTTCGTGCTTTATCAGCTTCTCCTGCCTTTTCTTTAGAGGCAGGAGGTTTGGAGGACGGCTCAGCCCCGGGTCCTCGAGGGCGAGGTTCCTGGGGCGAGGGAGTTGACTTGGGTGCCTTGAGCCCCGTTGGACTCCGCCTGGGTTTTTATACCCTCGGACAGATTGGATTTGGCGTCTACCCCTCCACGGGTTCGGTTCCATGATCCCGTGGGTTTTCCGGTCCTGTCCTTCCAAAGGTTTTTGGCTTCCCGCATCCCATCCAGTGGGGTGCGGGAAGCCCTTGAGGCTTACCTCCTGCGCGACCTCGATTATGCTTTCGTAAAGGATGCAACTCTTGTTTCAGCTGCGTTCCCACCTTCGTCAGTTTTTGAGGGGCTACCGGGTCACGCGGCGGTTGCTCGAGGGTTTGTGCGGGGGGCCTGAACTTTGCCATGATGGTCTACCCACCAGGTCGGGTGTGGCTTCATCGGCTGCCCTGGTTCCTTCGGGGACGTCACTTCTGCCTCTTTAGCGACCACTGAGTTCGGCCTCCGGGGACTTTGCACCAGTTGCTTCGTCGCTGGCTTCCTCTTCGGGTTTCTTCGGGGTTCAATGCCTTGGCGCCTACCATAGCCCTCACTCAATGTGTTCACTGATGCGTCGTCTCTGGGCTGGGGCTTTGTGACCAATGCTCACCAGACCGGCCGGGACAGTGGGCTCCGTCCTTCCGTCGAGCTCACATCAACCAGGTATCAACAGCACTGTGTGGGAGTTCATGGTAGTGTGGATGTCGCTTCTGTGGGTTTGGGGGCCAGGTTCTGGCTCATGGACTGGGGCCAGGTTCTGGCTCGTGGTCTGGGGCCAGGTTCTGGCTCGTGGTCTATGGTAGGCAAGAACTCCATGCACATTGATACCAGAAAGTTAATACATCCATATCAGCCTGGAAAGCTCCAGGAAACCTTTGGGTCTCACCCAGAAAATGGCATTTCATTACATTCAACGCTGGTTTTTTAATATAAAATTTCACTCCACCATACTATCTAATGTTTCCAACCTCTCCTCATAGGTCTCATGTTTTAGGTCTGGGGACAGAGATGGGGGGGGGGGCCATCTCTGCACCTTTCTTTGCTTATTGATGGACTTTTAGGAGGAACTGGTATCATACATCTGCTGAATATTCTAATTTAGGTGTTACATATGTTGTGTACCATTTTTAAACATGTCTCCAATACCACTCCTAGTCAGAGTTCTTTAGCATTTTTTTAGATAAATATGACCTGATTTCCTTATTCCACATTCAATAATGTGACACTTATCTACAATGAATTCAATCTGTCATGTGTTGCTTCATTCACTTAAAGGATACCTGATCAACCAGGCTGTGACTCATAAGTCAGCCTGCAAGCAACCGCATCGAAAATCCTGGTTGACTAGACCAACCAGGAGGCCTAGTTAGAGACCGGGCTATGGGGATGTTCATCCTTGGAATCATCAACAGGTATATGATCATTTTAAAGGGCATGACAGTCATATCAGTTTCTTATTCTTTACTGTAGCTTAGCATGCATTCAAAACATGCTCATATAATTCTACATCCCTTTAACACTTTAGTTTCATGATGACATTCGCGCAGTAATCAAAACAACACACGCAGTTTAGGGCATGACGTTAATGGCGTCATCAATTACTTTCTGCTTATTCTTATTAGTAAGTACTGTATAAACATTGTGAGTGAAAGAATTTACCATTGGGTTGTGTGCTCACGGGCAACACCCGGCCTATCTTGTGGTGCACGGCGGGTGGCCTGCCAGGCCAGGCAAAAGGGTTAACTTCACATACAGAATATAAACAATGAACATTATTGGTGCTAGTACCTATCCCTGCAGAAATACACAAGTGACACTCCTCCAGTTTGATTTATTGCCTCTGATTAATGGTCACCTCTTTATTCTCATAGGAATTATTTCCATCAGTGATAGTAGTCGGTTACCCCTCCTGTGTGTGTTCCAACTTTCAGAATAACCTGTTGTGTAAGACTATCAAATGCCTTTTTCAGATACATATAGATGGTCTGCTTATCCATCTTTATCCTGAAGAATCTGTGTGGTTTTATCTATTAACTGAGTAAATTTGTTACAATCTTCCAGTTTGGAAACTGAACCACTTGTCCATTATTATGTGTGCTGTATTTTCACAATGTAGTTATAGAAAGACATACAGTAAGGTCATGACATCATGACATCCTATTTGCCTTCTATATGTAGATTCATATAGTTTTAAAGCTTCCAATGATGTTGGCACACAATACCCCTCTAGTAGTTTTTTCCAGCAGTTAGCCAATCTAATTTTAAGTGATTTCGGGTGATTTCGGGGCTAAGTGTCCCCGCAGCCCGGTCCTCGACCAGTCCTCCACACCCAGGAAGCAGCTCGTAGCAGCTGTCTAACTCCCAGGTACCTATTTACTGCTAGGTAACAGGAGCATCAGGGTGAAAGAAACATTTTGCCCATTTGTCTCCGGCTTCACCGGGGATCGAACTCGGAACCTCAGGACTACGAATCAAAAGCGCTGTTCACCCAGCTGTGAGGCGTCCTGAGATAAAACCAACGACAGCGCAGGCTTCGAACCTGGCATCTGTGGCCTACCCCGTCAAGCGGAACCACATGCCCCGGCATGACCCTACCTGGAGGAACCCCATCCCCCAGGACCCCCAGAGAACCAACAAGTCGGACATCAGACGAGAGCTGGAAGAAGCTACCTGCAAATACCGCTCAACCGCAGAGTCCGCAAACAGCAAGGGACAAAAGGGTGAAGAAAACCTAAGAGCCAGGGGCCCTAAGCAGATTCCAAGGAGGTGAGCACAACCTGCCAACACGCGAGACATGCAGCAAAAAACAAAGGGGGGGATAGAGAATGGACCACAGCAGGGGGAAGAATGAGGGGCTGTGGACTGAACCAAGGCCGAAGCAACCAACACCCCATAGTCCGGGTCCCTATAAGCAAAGCGGTGCAGCCTCGGGGCATCCTGGGAAGCAACCAACCTAGCACGTTGCAGCAATCTATAACTAGCATGCAACGCCTGAGCCGCCTGCATCCGAATAATGTCATCAGTTGATCGGGTGAATTTAGTCACAAACAAACAATGCTCACAGGACTCAGGGTCGAAGGTGTCACCGATCCAACAGGCAGCATGATGGAGGCATAAAAATGAGCGTCGCCCTGAGACAGAGGGACAGAGTAACCCTCAAACTTGCACAAGGCGAGAGGGGACCCAGGTGTCACATCCATTGGACCCCAGCGCCCCAGTGGAGTTTCTCAGGAGCCCCTAGATTAGTATCGCTAAGGGTAAGCTCAGGCAGGGTACTGCTAACCGACGCCCAAGTCTACTAACAAACTTCCAAAACTGAATCTCCAGGATGTGTCCACTCACTGGGGCCAAGCAGGGGGTACCACCATACACTGGAGGTCAAGACCGTAATATATAACTGAGGGCAAGGGACACAAGGCAGACCCCCCACCAGGCAGAAACAAAAAGAAAAAGAAAAACCCCACAAGAGGACAATGTACCCAGGAGGAACAGAGCCAGCCACTGTAATAGGTGAAAACTAGCTGCGCAGTACCCTACGCCTAATAGAGTTTTTGCACTATTGACCGCCCCAACACACTTGGGGCGGTCAATCACCGAGCAACAAAAGGCCAACAGAGATAGACCCCAAGATGACTTGTGGAAGATAACTCCAAGCTCCAAGGGCAGTACTTTCAGGTCATTCAGGGAAGGAAACCCTAAGCACATGCAGCCCGAGTTCCTGTGAATATTACTCCAGCTCGCACACCACCGTAGGAGCAGTACTGAAAACAAGGCACAGCACAACACAGAGAGAATCTGGAGCTGGAGCCACACGACCATGCCACAATCACATCAGCCGAGAACTGGAGGGTAAATCGCCGGCGAGGTGGGTCTGGGGCTCCCCCTTCCCCCATCTGGGGAGGGAGGAGTTGCGCATTCATGGGCACGGCTCGTGTGATGTCATGCTTGTTTGCTCGTTTTTTATTTAGGGAGTTCTGCCCACTCCTTTGTCTATTTTTGCCGTTTTAACCAGAATAGGAGTTTGTTTTGAGGCGTTTACCTTTCTGGGTGCCTGGCCCAGTCGATGGCAGACACAGAATGCTCCAAATCCCATGTGCATTTCTATAGGTCATTGCTCCTCGTGCCTTTCTGAGAGGGGCCAGGTTCTGGTTCGTAGTCCTTGGTAAGCCTAGAACTCCATACACACTGACTGATGCCAAAGTCTAATGATATACATATCAGCCTGGTGAACTCTGGGGAGCTGAAGGGGCTCCCCCAGAAAATTCACCTATGTAAATAAATTATCAAAATCTCTCCAAAGTAGAGCAAGGTCACAGTCAGTCGGCTACACCATCTTCAGTACTATGCTGATGTGTGTAGTGTGCAACTGGATGCCTCTCTGGTGCTTGGGCTCCAGTGTTTTGATGTTGTTACTTATTGGTTGTGTTTGCCATTGTGGGAGTTGCTGTGCACTGTGCAGTGTTGCATGAGCCTGGACATCATGAGTGCTTGGAGCTGCATGTGCACAGGATTATCTTCCCTGTGTGCTCCTCAGTACTTCTCATGCGCTTCAGAGTTCTCTTCTCAGGGGTGTTTGGGAGTCGCTCCCATAGGGGTCCTCCTCACTTCTTCTGGTAGCCCTCACTCAGGTCGGGAGTGACACTGGCTGGAGGAAAAATGGGTACTCGCGGCTGCACTTCAGCACTCCAAGGTCGACCTTCATGACACACTGTTCATGACACAGCCACATGAACTAGGCTGTTTACTTTTCATGCCTAGTTCTGGCATTGCATTCCAGTGCCTGGGATGCACTGCTTGGTTTATCTTTCAGGCCCCCTAGCCTGAATGGTAATCCATGGGCCCACCTGCGGGTTCGGTAGTCCCATGGATATCCCCCTCAAACCAGCTCTCACCTTGTGCAAGTTTCTGGGTTGCTCGTCATTCAGGCCACAGGATGGCATTCAGTCTGTCTGCTTCTGTCATGCTGCCTGTTGGGTTGGTGACACGTTTGGCCCTAAATCCTGTGGGGGTTTCCTCTCCTAATATGGCTCTTCCTTGTGGCTCCCTTGCTGAGGTTATGGCTTATCAGGCAGTTTCTTTGGTTGTGGGTTGATCTCTGATCCCCACATGCTCCCCCACCCCTTTGAGAGGCCAAGAATCTGGTCATTGCTCCCAGCTAGAAGGGTGTGTCACAGATGCCTAGTAAGTTTAAGCCCTGGAGTGCCAGTGCATAAGTTCTGCAAAGCTAACATGGGGGCTACATTAGACAGCATTTTAATACGTTATCACTGGATATAACTAAATCATATCAGACAATTCACTGAAGTATATCTTGGCACATTTTATTTGGGCAATCCAATTTTGACCAGTCAAGAGTTAATTGAACAGTAATTGGATGAAAACATTTTAATTGAGAACAAAATTGGATGAGAACAAAGATGAAATATTCAGAATGTTGTTTTAACCTCACCTGAAGGAGCATTGTGTAGAGGTATGCTACCAAACTGGTACCATAATTTAAGGATATGAGCTATACAGAGGTTAAAAAATTTAAATTAATAATTAGGAAGATAGGAGGAAATGGGGAGACATAACTACAGTAGTTTTAAGTGCATGAAGAAGTGTAAAAATATGGATAAGGAAGAAAGTTTCATTACTCTAGTTACAGATAGAACTTAGAATATAGTCCCAGCAAATGCTAAAGTGATGAAACTTGGTGTTGGGGTGAGGAATCTGATGATAACATATATATCTACTTCAGGTATCAAACACAGAAAAGGACCTGGGAATAGACATCACAGAAGCTTTTCTCCCTAAAGGGGAGAAAGATCCCTTACGGGAAACCACCATCCAATTGGCACGAGTGGTCAAGAGTGGATAAGGGCAAGGGACCTGCACTCAGCGGTTGCAGTAGTGTTAAAAGGGGGCAGAACCAAAAGAGTTCTAGAAAACACACCCTACCCAGCAGGAAAATCATGCAAGTAAGATTCAGGCTCTCACAAACCCTCTCAAGCAACTACCGAGTTGCCCAAAGCTGCCAAAGCGATGGCGACCAAGAATTCCACACGAGGCCCGGCCAAGTCCGAACCTGGGATGACATCAACTTGAACTTTTGCCAGTTCACCAGAAAACTGAATCCAGCAAGTTGGGAGATAACCAGATCCCTGGCTAGCAGACACAAGGACTGACTGGGGGCCCACACCAGCCAGTCATCGAGGTAGGCCAGAATGTGAACACCCCCTTTCCCCCTCCTCCAACAAATGAAGATGAGTCATCACAACCCGAGCCAAGCTGGTGAAAATGCAGAAAGCCAGATTCAAGATGAAGGGAAGAGCCTAGGGTAAGTCTGACCCTCCCACCATGATAAAATCTAACCAATCCCTGAACCTTGGATGAATAGAGATGTGCCAGTGCACATCCCGAATGTCCAGGGATATCATCCAGGAGCCCACCTCAAATACGAGGTGAACCTGGGCCACAGTGGTCATCCAGAATGTGGGGCAAAGGATGAAGTTGTTCAAGCATGAGATATCAAGAATGAACTGGAACTCTGCCGAGCCCCTTTTTGAACTTGGGAAGAGATGGGACACCCACTGAAGAGATGTGGTTATTTTGACCATACGGGAAGCACCCATTCCAAGATGATCCAACACAGGCAAGGGAAAGAGGCCAGATCTAAAAGCCCGAACCCCAGAAAGGGGAGGCCTCAACCACAGGCCACATGAAATCTGAAAAGCCCATGAATCGTGGCAACGGGAGCTGACAAACAGAGCAAGTTGCCCCCCCCATCACCCCATCAAGTGGGTGAACCGCAAAAGGGGGTGAATCGCAAAACGGCCATCATGATCCATAAAAAGCATGATCCTCTGTGAAGTGACAGTACGGCACCAACCAGCAAAGGACGAACCTGCTACAGTAGGTGAATAAAACTTTGAAACTGGCTCCAGCACAGGCCTACCTCAACCAACAGCATGCCTCAGCCCTATGTGACTGCCTCCAGGAACAAGGTTGGAAACCACGAGTAAAAAGATCCAAAATGGACTGACTAGACATGACAGCAGAAGAGAGAAACTCACCATGAACATCCTCAGGAAAGAAAAAAAGGTGAAAAAGTGGAGGAGGACAATAGGGCCAGAATCCAAGCCAATTCTAATGACTGGGCTATGACAGCCAGTCAACATGTGAGGCATGCACTGTAGAATGTGGCCGCCGCCTCCCAAATCACAGGAGAATATAGTTTGGGCAAAGGTGTTAATGATGCAGCAGCAGACACCAAAGCACCCACACCGGGCTCAGAGCCTAGTGCTTCAACATTCTTGTGGAGCATGCAGAGTGGAGCACCACGATGGTCAAAAACCAAATGATCAAAGCCAGATGTGAGTAAGCCCAAAAGCCCTCAGTTATGAGGGATACTGACAGCAAAAGTACTTGGGCATGAAGATGCACCAAGTCCACATTCCAGTAGTGGCTTGGAGCAAACAGGAGAGTAGGAGCAAACAGACAGTAATTGAGTAACACAAAATAGGGCCACCCTTCTTTTCTTATACAGGTAATTATATATATATATTTCCCAGGGTCCCAGACATTGTTGCATTAACAGAGACGAAACTTGAAGAAAATATTTTAAATGAGGTCGTATTCCATAGGGGCTACTGAGGTTGGAGGCATGACAGGAAAACGAGGAAGGGGGGAGACGTGGCTGTGCTGGTGAAAGTACATCTGAAGGTAAGAGAGTTAATACTTGAAAACCCTCGAGAAGTTGACATAATAGCATTGCAGGTCTGGAATCAGGATGATAAACTGATAATTGTAAATGCCTACAGCCCACTAGCAAGCAACACATGGACAAAGGAAGAACTGGATGACAAACGAGAGGGCCTCATAATGGTCGTGAGAGAAATTATAGTACAAGCAGATAAAGATAAATCACGACTGTTGGTACTGAGGGTCTTCAACTTTAAAGTAATAGACTGGGAGGCCTATGAAGCAAGAACAGAGGACATTTGGACAGGCAGATTTGTAAACCTCATTCTGGAGATATTCTTGGATCAACACGTCAAGCAGGCCAAAAGAATGGGGGAAAGGGATGTTCCATCAGTACTAGATCTAATATTCACCAGGAAAGACGAGGAGATATTTGACATCCAGTACCATCCTTCCTTCCTTGGGGAAGTGATCATGTCCTGTTGGACATGAAATATGCTTTAAGATATAATCTAGAAGAAAATGGGGACATTGAAACAGTTGTTAAGCTCGATTTCAAGAGAGGACACTAGGGAGAACTTCAAATTTTTTTTAAAGAGTGTAATTGGACAGACGTGTTGCTAAGCAGGGAAGTAAATGAGATGTATGCCAAATTTTGTAAAATACACAAACATTCACACTAAGTTAAGGGAAGTGAAAAAATTGGATGAGAAAAAGGTGCCCTAGTGTTTCCAGGGCAGACAAGAACATTCAAGATGGCCGCTGACAAGAGGAAAAACAAAACAGAGCTTGGTTTTGGTGGATTCAATGAAGAAAGCATTGATATAAGCAGTCTACACAACAAGTTGGCAAAGTTAGATACAATAGTGAACTCTCATGTAGAAATAATCAGTAAATTGAAAGAAAGTAATGACCATTTGTGTAGCAAAGTTGAGGGCTTAGTGAAAGACTTGTGCGAGGACAAGAGAGGGGTAGTGAAGAATAAGGAGAGGAGGAACATGTTCCTGAAAATAGCATACACTAAAGTAGATGGAGTGAAATCGAAGATACTGGAATTAAGTGATGTAATACAGCTGCAGACATCAGACATTGTTGCACTCACAGAGACAAAATTTGAAGATGTTATTTTAAATGAGGTCATATTCCCAAGAGGCTACTCAATTTGGAGATGGGACAAAAAAATTAGGAAAGGTGGTGGTGTTGCTGTACTGGTGAAAGAACACCTAAAGGTGAACGAAATAATGATTACCAATCCACAAGAAGTTGACATAATAGCACTAGAGATCTGCCTTGAGGATGATAAACTAACGATCATAAATGCATATAGTCCACCGTCAAGCAAGACATGGACAAAGGAGGAGCTAGATAGTAAACGAGAGGGTCTTATAACAATAATGAGAGAGATTATAGCGAGAATGGATAAAGATAGATCACGATTGTTGATAGTCGGGGACTTCAACTTGAAATCCATAGACAAGCTATGGATTGCTACGAGGATGAGGGAAGGGGACGTTCCCTCCATGCTAGATTTGATATTTATCAGGAAGGAGGAAAAGATATTTGACATTCAGTACCTTCCTCCCTTGGGTAAAAGTGACTATGTCTTTTTGGGAATAAAGTATGTTATGCGTTATAATCTGGAAGAAAATACGTAAGGAGGTTGAAGCAGTTGAAAAACTTGACTTCGGGAGAGGACATTATGATGACCTTAGAAAAATTTGTTAGTGAGTATAATTGGACAGAATTGTTGCTAGGCAAGGAAGTAAATGAGATGTATGTCAAGTTTTGTGAAATATATGATAAAGGCACAAAAAAATGTATACCAAAACAGAGATGCAGAACTAGGAAACAGGATTGGTTCAGCAGAAATTGCAAGAGGGCCAGAGACCAAAAGACACAAAAATGGAATCACTATAGGAAGAGGCCAAACCCCCAAACATACCAGCGATACAAAGATGCGAGAAACAACTACACAGCAGTGAGGAGAGAGGCAGAAAGAAATTTTGAAAAAGGTATTGCAGACAAATGTAAAACAGAATCAGGTCCATTCTATAAATTCATAAACAACAAATATCAGGTATAGAATAATATTCAGAGGTTGAAAATGGGAAATAGATTCACGGAAAATGAAAAGGAAATGCGTGAAACATTAAACAAAAAGTTCCAAAGTGTGTTTGTACAAAATAAAATCTTCAGTGAACCAGACACAATAAGAATTCCAGAGAACAACACAGAGCACATAGAGGTGTCTAAAGACAAAGTGGAAAGAATGCTCAAGGAGCTAAGTAATAACAAAGCAGTTGGTCCAGATGGAGTTTCATCATAGGTTATCTTGAGATTTTGAGATGATTTCGGGGCTTTAGTGTCCCCACGGCCCGGTCCGCGACCAGGCCTCCACCCCCAGGAAGCAGCCCGTGACAGCTGACTAACACCCAGGTACCTATTTTACTGCTAGGTAACAGGGGCATAGGGTGAAAGAAACTTTGCCCATTGTTTCTCGCCAGTGCCCGGGATCGAACCCAGGACCACCGGATCACAAGTCCAGCGTGCTGTCAGCTCAGCCGACCGGCTCCCCAAAACCCCCTGGGTTCTAAGAGAATGTGCACCTGAGCTCAGCATTCCACTTAATTAACTGATTTTTCAGGCATCCCTGTTTATAGGAGTTGTAGCTGATGTGTGGAAAAGGCTAACATAGTTCCAATCTACAAAAGTGGCAGCAGGGAAGACCCCCTTAATTAGAGACCTGTATCATTGACAAGTGTCATAGTCAAAATATTGGAAAAAATAATTATAACTAAATGGGTAGAACACCTGGAAAAAAACGATATAATATCAGACAGACAGTATGGTTTTTGATCTGGAAGATCCTGTGTAACGAACTTACTCAGTTTCTATGATCGAGCCACAGAGATTTTACAGGAAAGAGATGGTTGGGTTGACTGCATCTATCTGGACCTAAAAAAGGCTTTCGACAGAGTTCCACATAAGAGGGTTGTTCTAGAAACTGGAACATATTGGAGGGGTGACAGGTAAGCTTCTAACATGGATGAAAAATTTCCTGACTGACAGAAAAATGAGGGCCATAATCAGAGACAATGTATCGGATTGGAGGAATGTCACGAGTGGAGTACCACAGGGTTCAGTTCTTGCACCGGTAATGTTCATTGTCTACATAAATGATCTACCAGTTGGAATACAGAATTATATGAACATGTTTGCTGATGATGCTAAGATAATAGGGAAGATAAGAAACCTAGATGATTGTCATACCCTTCAAGAAGACCTGGACAAAATAAGTATATGGAGCAACATTTGGCAAATGGAATTTAATGCGAATAAATGCCATGTTATGGAATGTGGAATTGGAGAACATAGACCCCACACAACGTATAAATTATGTGAGAAATCTTTAAAGAATTCTGACAAAGAAAGGGATCTAAGGGTGGTTCTAGATAGAAAACTGTCACCTGAGGACCACATTAAGAACATTATACGAGGAGCCTATGCTACACTTTCTAACTTCAGATATTGTTTTTCAATTTCAACATGGATGGAGAAATACTAAAAGAAATTGTTCACGAGTTTTGCTAGACCAAAGCTGGAATATGCAGCGGATTTATAGTGCCCATATCTTAAGAAGCACATCAACAAACTGGAAAAGGTGCAAAGACATGCCACTAAGTGGCTCCCAGAACTGAAGGACAAGAGCTACGAGGAGAGGTTAGAGGCATTAAATATGCAAAAACTAGAAGATAGAATAAAAAGAGACGATATGATCACTACATACAAAATAGTAACAGGTATCGATAAAATTGATAGGGAAGAATTCCTGAGACACGGAACTTTTAGAACAAGAGTTCATAGATTTAAACTCACAAAACAAAGCTGCCGGAGAAATATAAGAAAATTCACTTTTGTAAACAGAGTGGTAGACGGTTGGAACAAGATAGGTGAGAAGGTGGTGGAGGCCAAAACTGTTAGTAATTTCAAAGCGTTATATGACAAAGAGTGCTGGGGAGAAGGGACACCACGAGCATAGCTCTCATCCTATAACTACACTTAGGTAATTTACCCAGAATGTGCCAACAGGTTCACTCTGGTGAATCCTGTTTCTTATGATCTTATCTTAGAGCTGGAAGATCAACACCCAAATTAGTCAAAGGGACACCTGGAAGAACTTATAGAAGCACACATGCAGTGAGCTAGATAGGAAAATAGCTAAATCTGAATCTATACATGAGTTCAAAACTAGACATGATAGAGATCAACTGTATGTCAAACAAGGGAAGATTAATTAGTGGGCACAGGAGCTGAAGTTTATCTACATCAAACACAACTAGGTGAGTACAAACACACACATGCACACTAACAGGATTGGTTCAACAAAAATTGTGAGAGGGCCAGAGAGTAATAGACAAGAAAATGGGTACATTATAGGAAGAGGCCAAACATACCAGCACTACAAACAAGCAAGAAACAAATACACAGCAGTGAAGAAAGAGGCAGAAATGAATTTTGAGAAAAGGGTAGCAGACAAATGTACAACAGATCCAAGCCTTTTCTATAAATTCATTAAAAGCAAACTGCATGTAAAGGATAAAATCCATTTTTATTTGATAAGAGATTAAGAATAGGGGAATAGGTTCAATGAGAATGAAAAAAATGTGTGAAACACTAAATGAACAGTTCCAAAGTGTGTTTGCTCAAAATGAGGATTTCAAAGAGCCAGATACAATGCTAATTCCAGAAAATACCATAGAAAACATAGAGGTACTGTATCTCGAGACAAAGTGGAAAATTTACTCATGGGGCTAGGTAGAAATAAAATAGTTGGACCTGAAGGAGTTTCATCTTGGGTGCTGAGAATGTGCAACTGAGCTGAGTATTCCACTTCAATTGATATTCCAGACATCTTTGTCCACAGGAATCATAGCACATATTTGGAAAAGGTAAACATAGTTCCAATCTACAAAAATGGTAACATAGAAAACCCTCTAAATTATAGACCCGTATAATTCCAAGGAGTGGTAATCAAAACACTAGAAACAATAGTTAAAACCAAATGGGTAGAACACCTGGAGAGTAATGACATAATAACAGACAGTCAGTGTGGTTTTTGAAAAGGAAGATCCTGTGTAACAAATCTACTTATTTTTTATCATCTTACCTGACCTTGGAAAAATTAATATTTCCCTTGGAAAAATTAAGCATACTTTTGACTTTGGGGAAAAGAAGGTAATGATTCAACTGTATAAATCTCTGATGCACTCTCATTTGGAGTACTGTATCCAAGCATGGAAACTCATTTTCAGAAGGACATAGTTGCTCTGGAAAAAGTGCAACACCAGGCAACAAAAGTCATTCCAGGGCTAAGTCGTCTCTTTTAATAGGAATGGTTGAAGGCCACAGGGCTAACACTGCAAACCAGGCATGACAGGGCAGATCTCATTGAAACTTTTCAAAATACTGAGCAAGTTTGAGGATGTTGATCCAGACAATTTCTTCAAAAGGTCAGATGTAGCACAAGGAGCAACAGTTTCAAGCTCAACAAGCTACAATGTAGGACTGAGAATAAGAGATGCTTTTTCAACCACAGGGTTATAACCCATGGAACCGCCTTCCCACCGAAGCCGTAAATGCCAAAACTGTGTTAAGTTTTAAAATCTACAGGGAAAAGGTCATCAAGGCAAATCGGGGACCTTTGACAAACCACCAGCTTCCTGTCCTCGTCAAGGCCACTAGGGTTAGTGACCTTCAGGTAAATCAGGTAAAATAAAAGCAAGAATCGACCAAATTTACAAAGAGGAATTTTTGAAACCAGCAACTTCAAGAACAGTCACAGATTCATGCTAAGGAAACAAAAGGAATAAAAAAATATTAACAAGTTTTCTTTTGCAGAATGGTAGACAATTGGTACAAGTTAAGTGAGAAGATGGTAGAGGCCAAAACCATTAATAGTTTCAGAGCATTATATGAGAAAGTACGAGAAGATGGGACACCACGAGTGTAGCTCTTGTCCTGTATCTACACTTAGGTAATTACACACACATCAGAAAGTTCCCTTTTGCAAACAGAGTGGTAGGTGAGAAGTTAAGTGAGGTGGTGGTGGAGACCAGTAGTTTCAAAGCGTTATATGATAAAGAGTGCGGAGAAGATAAGACACTACGAGCATAGCTCTCGTCCTATAACTACACTTAGGTAATTAAACACACACACACACACACACATAAGCCCCACCTTGGTCACCACTCTTAGATGATTCACTTCATATTCGTTGATCTACTACCGTTTACCAAATATCTGAGCCATAATAGTTCAGTGTTTGAATTACCTTATACAGTATCAGTATTTAATTTGTCTATTCATTCATTTGGTTTCAATGAAGTCAGATACTGCTGGGAAAATGATTAGATATACTGTATTGGCTACCATGACTCATCTAGAATATAAAAGAATGGCAGATATACTATCTTTGATGTAAAATAATATTTATAGTTTTAATATAAAACTTGTATATGCATTTTCTTATTTAAAAACTTATACAATATATTTAAAGTGTATCAAAACCAAAGACACTAAATCCACCAGCCTTATTTCTTACCTTTAAATGTTGCAATGCCATCAGCCTCTGTGAGCTGGCGACTCAGTCTCTCGACTTCTTTCTTTTCCACCTGGCCATGATTCCCAAGCACAACCCCCACCTCTGGCACCGTCTCTCTGGTGTTATCAGAAAAGGATGTTAGGGATATGGAGGGCTCAATAATAATCTCTGGCATCAAAGGAAACGCCATTTCTCTTGGTGGAATTGGTGACTGGGTGATGCTTTGACTCTCAGTAGCTGTTGAGAGGCTGGTAGTACTGATGATGCTCAAACTCTCACCATTTGGTGAAGGGGTGACGGGACTGGTGATGCTTCGGCTTTCAGTGGTTGGTGAACATTCACTGTGCTGTGCCTCTATTGTCTCAAAATCTTTAGCTTGGATTAACTCAAAAGTTCCTGATCCTATGGACATGGAGCGTTTGCGTTGTTCCGTATAAAGCACTCCTCCTTTGATGATTCCCTCAGAGAGATCCATTGAATGGGAACTCAATTTAGGATCAATAGGAGGTTTCCTAGATGTTGGTTCATTATTAAGGTTAGGATGAAGGTTTGATTGCAAAACTGGTGTTGGGTTAGTGCTGCTGATGGAAATAGTAGCTTGGCTGGCAGTGGTGTTGTTAAAAACATTCTTGCTTGTTTGCAATGAGGATGCTCTGGACACTGCTATAAACCGAGGTTTTTTCTTTGCTGCTTCTTTCCTCATTCTCTGTTTTTCGATTTTTTCTAACTCTGCTATGGCAGCCATTTCATCAAATTTAGCAATGGCAGAAAATACTTCTGTGTCCCTTGGGACATCAGATTTAAATTGTTGTCTGGTGCCATCTCTGGTCTCATTCTGTGATCTCAGTAATTCTGGACTGCTGGTTTCAGAATTCAATTGCTCGAAAATTTGTGTTCTTCCTATGATATTACCAAATGACCTTCTGCGAGTTACTCGTGGCTTTTCTTTTTTGGCTTGTTGCAATTGTTCAAACTGATTAAAAATGCTAACTACATTACGCACAGCACCACTTGGCTTTAAGACTTGTGGTTTACGGAAATGTTTGCTGTAAAAAGAAGTTTCTTCTTCATGCTGAGATTCACTTTCTCTGACAATCAATTCTGGTTCTGTCGGCAAACTTGCAGCACTAATACTATTTAACTCATTTATCTTATCATCTTCCAGCTCAGTTTTGTTTGGTTTAATTTTTTTTTTTTTGTCTCCGTGTTTTTTTTTATTTCTTTTTTCATGATGATTCTCTAATGTGCATGCTTCACTGTGGTTAATTTCATTGTCAGCATGGCTGTTTTCTTGGAATTTTGCTATCCTCACTTTTCTCAACTGTTCCATATCAGGTTCTTTGTTTAACCCTTCACTGGTGTGTGCTTCTTTAACAGTAAATTCTAAAGTTTTCAACTCATTGTCAGTCTGTAATGAATTCAAGCTCTGAATATATGTGTCAGGAGGACCTGAAGCAGTACCAAAGAATATTGTCTTTGGCTTTGCACCCTTGCCTCTGACTTTTACTTCTTGGGATGTACAAACTGCTGTAGCCCCACATTCATTCCTCAAACTTGTTATAATTTTTCCATATGGTTCTTCAGCTTCAGAAACACTAATTTCTGTGGGCTTAATGGTTTCTGAATTTAAAGTGGAACAATCTTTCATATCACCAACAGTGCCTTTGACATGCTCATCAAATGTTTTGAAATATTTCTGCAACTCTCTCTCCCAGTTAATATCCTTCTTTTTTTTGTCTCGGGAAGACTTTTGATCCCCATCAGGAGACTGACCAGTGTCTGGTACTATATCAGTGCCCCCTAAAGCTTCTTTAAAACCTTCTGGGTTACCTTCATCATGGATAACCGTCACAGGACTTTCATCAGAGATACTTGGATGTGAACTAATGTGATCTGAGGTGAAGGACTTCCCATCCTCGTCCACTCGCTTGGGGTTGGCAGGTCTACGCATCATACATGCCTCACACTGAAGTCTCCATGGCAGATTGATCAGAGTACACACCTCACATACCCACTTCAACTTGCGCTCTATTCCTTCGTTTAGGTCAATAGGAGGTGGTGGGGCCACATCCACATTTCTAGCTCCTTCATGTTCTGTCGCATTTTGCCAAATCTCAAAACTATTTCTGTCCCTCAATAAGAGGACCTCATCACGAATCTTATCTGCTTTTCTCTTATCTCTATTTTTTGCTGCTTCCTCTTCTTCATTATTGATCTTTTGAATTTCTTGTCTAACATCTGCTAACTCTTGCATGATCTCCCGAGCATCTGTCGAACTAAGACGGAACTCATAGTTAGCATCACTGTTAATCTCATCATGGACAGATTCCCTTCTTCCCCTCCCGTTAACAGATGAAGGTACAGGAAGGTCTTCATAAATATCATCTGCTGGAGTCGTAGCACTTGATGTCATAGACTCGGATGCCTCTATGATAGTGGAAACATCTGGTGAGAAAAAGTTATTCATACGAAGACCAAAATTTTTGTTCAATCTCCGAAACTGGATCAGAGGTTCACTACCAACAGGTAAATCATCCTCTATTTCTTCTTCACTTAATTCCTCATATGATACCATTTTCTTGTTCTCTCTGACCCCAGCAAGTATTGGTGAATTTCTATTTTTTGGCTCATTAGGGATTTGGGTATCCTTAGCGAGCCGGTAAAACAATTCTGCATCAAATGTTGCTCTTTGCATTGGTGATTCCCGAGAGGGAGGCTGGGTAGGATCTAATGTGACCGTGGCTTCTTGAACATGTGGAGAATAACTAAGATGTGTGGTGGCAATTTTTGTCTTAAGAGAATTTGATTCTTGAGATGCACTGGATAAATCAAGCAGTGCAGGATCAGACACATTTGGATTATTTTCAGTGGAATGATGGAAGGTACTTTCTTTTTCATCAATTCTAAGTGTTGCCTGTTTTGAGTAGCTTTGTGGAAGAGTTAGATCTGGCCCAGAGTCACCAAAGTTATCGTAAATACCATTTATGTGATTTGGAAATGCATGTTCAGTATCTGCTCTGCCATTGTCTAACGAGCCCACTGTTTCAGAACTCAAAGTACTTGTATCAAACATTTCACTTTTGCTTTCATTTCTAGTTCTTGGCATGAAATCTGTCTGAGTCAGAATGTGAGGTTCACTAGACTTATAAAACTTGCTGTCATAGGTCTTCTTCTGTGCCCTACGTTGCTCTAATTCCCTCTGCATTTGCTCTGAGGCAGCTCGGTCCAGCTCACTTATATTAGCCAATAATGATACTTGAGATTTACGTTTTTCCTTTCTATCATCATCCTTTGATTTCTTCAGTGTACCTGCATCACTGTCAAAGCTTTTACTTTTCCTAAAAGTCCCACTTAAACTGAGTTTACTTCGTGAAAACTGAATATCAGGCATCCAGCTATCATAAGCTTTTTCTTTCTTATTAACTGCTCTTGAATCTTTATTACACTCCTTATCTTTACTTTTTTTCCGTTTATACCAGGGACGTGGAGAAAGAGTCAGTTTGCCAGTATCAGGTATGGCAGGGCTGGAGGAAGACTTGGTGATGTCCTGCCTGAGAAAGCCACTCTCCAGTCTGATGGACTCGCCAGAATACTGACTGCTGGAGGCAATACTGCTGCTCTGTGACTTTAATGTAGTAGAAGCTGAGGATGGAGACTGAGAGAGACAACTTCCGGAGGAAACAGAGCTTACTGGTCGATCACTTTTCTCAAGAACAACACTAGGTACCTGGTGCTTCGTTTGGCAATCTCTGGCGAGTGTTGATGTATTATCTTTACTATAATTTATAGTAACTGCCTCTACAGTTGTCTGCCCAGGTGGCAGTGGAGCTCTTCTCTTGACTCTAGTATATATCAAACCTTCACTCTTTGATTTCTGGAGCTTCCTACCTTCTGGCACCTGACAATTTACACTTGGTAAGTCTTGTTCCAAGGCTATGCTGGGTCTTGTTTCCCTTGCTGGAAGACTGGTACAGCTTTTCTGTGACCTTAGTGATTCAGAATCACTTGTCTTTGGTGATCCAGGTGGTTGGGGCGCTGCCCTCTTTTTTCGACTCAGTGTTGTCCCTCGAGACCCAGGCATCGACAACGTATCTGAGGCACTTACTAATGATTGTCTCCTGTCTCCCTCCTCATGACAGGTCTCTGAGTTATGTTCAAGTGAAGAGACCCTTGTAAATAGTTTGTATTGTCGGGTAATTCCAAATTGAGGCTGTTTTTTTGAAGACATCTTTTTGTGTGTGTCAGCACTTTTACTTCTCATGATGGGAACATGAGCAAAACCACTGGCAGAGCTAGACAGACTGTTGACACTGCCTGCACTTGCATTGCTCATGCGGTCCACTGATGTAGATCTTTTCTTCTTGTCCCGATTAATAAACCAGCGAAATATATTTAGAAAACCAGATGTTTTCTCTCTCTTAAGCGGAAAGTGTCTATCACCCATGGAGTACCGCCCAGGAGAACTCATGTACTTAGATATATCGCTTGCTGTCGTGGATGCACTTGAAGAACTAAGCTTTTTCCCGTGGTGTCTTTGGTAATCATTAAGTGTTGGACTTGATGGAGTTGATACACTGGGTTGTCGGTTCTGCCCTAACGCTCCTGAAGTATCATTTAATTTGCCTTCGGACACCAGTGTAGATTTTCTAACCATCGTTTCTCCAAAATAAGCCAAGCCATCATACCAGTCCTCATCAGTACCCCCTCTCCCTGGGCCACCTAGTCTACCACTCTTCACACAATCACTTGCCATCATCTTATAGTCCTCATCATCACTGTCATGTTTGTTTTCCTGAGACATGTCCTGAGCCCCTTTTTGTACAAGCTTTGCAGCTAGCACTTCCTTCTTACTTTTGCTCGTGCAGGAGTAGCCAGTAGAAGCATATACTGTGGTGTTGGTGGCTGTGGTTGTAGCAATTGTAGAGGGTGAATATATGGAAGAAGTTATGACAGAAATGGAGTTTATGCTCTGGTCATGCAGGTGGGTGTGATGTTGCTTCGTCGTCTTGCTGCCGCCGATGCCCGAGCTCCCAGGATGAATTACTTCATATCCACTTTGCTGTAAGGAAAAACCCATGAATTGTATGTTTTAAATCTAAATTTTGTTTCAGCATGGGAAAACAAGCATCATTAATAGCACCTGTCCTATATTTTGTACCAAGTCTAATAACAATTTATAATTATTCATGTTTTTCTGAGCCATCCTACTTAGTTGCTCCCTAAGGCAAGATTCTACTGGTCCCATGAATACGATCATGTTGAGTCAGGGCAGCTTGTCAACCCACACTGCAGTAGCAACAATCTTATTAAACATTCCTTCGCAGCATTCTGGTGCTAAGGATACACTAGAGCAGGATTGGCAAACCTATGGCATGCGTGCCCAGAGTGGCGAACCTATGGCATGCATGCCCAGAGTGGCGAACCTATGGCATGCATGCCCAGAGTGGCGAACCTATGGCATGCATGCCCAGAGTGGCGAACCTATGGCATGCATGCGCTCAGAGTGGCGAACCTATGGCATGCATGCCCAGACTAGCAAACCTATGGCATGCATGCCCAGAGTGGCGAACCTATGGCATGCATGCCCAGAGTGGCAAACCTATGGCATGCGTGCCCAGAGTGGCGAACCTATGGCATGCATGCCCAGAGTGGCAAACCTATGGCATGCGTGCCCAGTGGCAAATCTATGGTATGCGTGCCCAGAGTGGCACAGAAACAGATTTTGGTGGCACATGGCATGCAGTGGTTCCCCTTGATTCTTTAAACCCAACCCCACCCATATTAAATATAGAAATGTTTAACAGACAGGCCGACCTTTCAAAAATAGTTGCTGTGACAAATGATGGTGCACCCAACATGACTGGTAAAGAAGCAGGTTTTATAAATGTGTTTACAATATACAGTATGGTGTATAGAGCACCACTTGGCAAATGGAATTTAATGTGAATAAATGCCATGTTATGGAATGTGGAATAGTACATAAACCACACACAACCTACAAATTATGTGGAAAATATTAAAATAAAATCTGATAAAGAAAGAGTTCTAGGGGTGGATATAGATAGAAAACTATCACCTGAGGACCACATAAACAACATCGTGCGAAGAGCCTATGCTACAATTTCCCCATTTCAGAATTGCTTTCAAATACATGGATGGTGAAATACTAAAGAAATTGTTCAAGACCTTTGTTAGACCAAAGCTGGAATATGCAGCGGTTGTATGGTGCCCTTACCTTAAGAAGCACATCAACAAACTGGAAAAGGTGCAAAGACATGCAACTAAATGGCTCCCGGAACTGAAGGACTAGAACTACGAGGAGAGATTAAAGGTGTTAAATATGCCATAACTGGAAGATAGAAGAAAAAGAGGCACTATGATCATTACGTACAAAATAGTAACAGGAATCGATAAAACTGATAGGGAAGAATTCCTGAGACCTGGAACTTCAAGAACATGAGGTCATTGATTTAAACTAACTACACAAAGGTGCCGAAGAAATACAAGAAAATTCATTTTCGCAAACAGAGTGGTAGACGGTTGGAACAAGTTAGGTGAGAAGGTGGCGGAGGCCAAAACTGCCTGTAATTTCAAAGCGTTATACGACAAAGAGTGCTGGGAAGATGAGACACCATGAGCATATCTCTCATCCTGTAAGTACACTTAGGTAATTACTGATGCCCATATCTTAAGTAGCACATCAACAAACTGGAAAATGTGCAAGGGCATGCAAGAACTGCTAAATGGCATCCAGAACTGAAAGACTAGAGCTGTGAGGAAAGGTTAGAGGTATTAAATATGCCAAAGCTAGAAGATAGAAGAAAAAGGGGCGATAAGATCGCTACTTACAAAGTAGTAATGGGAATTGAGAAAACTGATAAGGAAGAACTCTTGAGACCTGGAAGTAATAGAACAAGAGATCATAGATTTAAGCTAACTAAACAAGCTGCCAAAGAAATAAAGTACTGTATAAGAAAATACACTTTCACAAATAGAGTGGTAGACAGGTGGAACAAGTTAAGTGAGGTGGTGGTGAAGGCCAAAACTGTCAGTAGTTTCAAAGCGTTATATGACAAGGAGTACCGGGAAGATAAGGGACATCATGAGTGTAGCTCTCATCCTGTAACTACATTTAGAAAATTATACTTGGGTAATTACTGCCTTTCCTCATTCTCATATAAGATATAGACAAAAATACAAGCCATAGCTTCCTGTTGTCTTTTGCGGATGACACCAAAATCAGCATGAAAATGACTTCTGTAGAAGATATTGAAAAACTACATGTTAACATTAATAAAGTTTTCGATTGGGCAGAATAAAATAACAAAATTTAAGTGATTAATTCTAGGTACAGTACTTAGGTATGATAAAAATGAAGACCTTAAACAAAATACAGGATACAGAATACAATCAAATTACAAACAAATTTGTAATCAAATTACAAAACAACTCGTAAAGGATCTAGGAATGATGATGTTTGACGACTTAATGTTTAGGGAGCATAAACAAGCAAATATAGTGTCAGCTAGAAAGATGATAGTGTGGATTATGAGTACCATCAGAGGAGTTCCAGGATTTTTCAAATTCCTAACTATTGTAGAACAGGTTGATGACTGTGAGTGGTGTCCCAAGAAACATAAAGGTGAAGTGCATTTAAAAAATAGGTGAGATAAAACAAATGTACAAAGGGAAGTGAAATAATTGGATGAAAAGAGGTTTGCTATTGTGTAAACAGTGCAGACGACAAAATTCAAGATGGCTGCCTTGAATTTGTAAGGTCTTTTCCTCTAGTACTTGGACTAGAGGAAAGGAAGCAAAACAAAACAGAGCTAGATTTTGGTGGATTCAATAAAGAAAGCATTAATATAAGCAGTCTACACAACAAGTTGGCAAAATTAAACATTATTGTAAACTATCATGTAGATATAATCAGTAAATTGAGAGAAAGTAATGACTAATTGAGTAGCAAAGTGTTAGATCTTAAGGAGGACTCAATGCTGAGTCGTCGCCGAGCGAGAATGTTTAAATTAATTTAATAATTATCACTTTTGCTCGGCGACGACTCAGCATTGAGTCCTCCGTGCGGCAACAGTAGCGGCGTTTTCAGGAAGGTTTTGCAGCGGTTTTGGATATTATATGCATATACACCTGTAGGGAATTTCATTGCGAATACATTGATACCAAAATGAAAGACCTAGGACCAGAATTGAGGTAACAAAGTTGAAAACAGAATACCCATTTTATTGCTCTTTATTAGCGCTCACGGGGGTAACGCTCTGTCACTTTCTCTGTTTGCTGTGGGTGGTACGCCGGACTTTTGGACTTTATATTTGCATATACTCCTGTAGAGAATTCTATTGCGAACTCAATGATACCAAAATGAAAGACCTAGGACGGGAATTGAGATGGCCAAAGTGAAGAGAGAGCTCCCGGGTAAGAAACTCTCACTTTCTTGCTGGGCTTTTGGGATTTATATTCATTTAGTCCTGTAGAGAATTCTATTGCGAACACATTGATACCAAATTGAAAAACCTAGGACGAGAATTGAGATGACAAAGTTGAAAAACGTATACACTTTTCAGAATTACCGCGCCTCTAATGTAATGAGAGGCGCTTGGGGTGGCGCGGCGCTCTCGTTTTGGTAACCGCGGCCTGTTGTCATCACGTCGGCGGGTGGAGATCACTGCTGTTTTTGACATTATATGCATATACTTCTGTTGGGAATTTTATTGCGAACACATTGATACCAAAATGAAAGACCTAGCACGAGAATTGAGTTGACAAAACTGAAAAGAGTGTAAACATTTTATCCCTCTTGTGCGCTCCCGAGTAACTTTCTCTCACTTCCTCTGATAGTTGCGGATGGTAAGCCGGGCTTTTGGAGTATATATGTATTTAGTCTTGTAGAGAATTCTATTGCGAACACATTGATACCAAATTGAAAATCTTAGGACGAGAATTGAGCTGACAAAGTTGAAAAAAATATGCGCTTTTCAGAATTTACCGTGGTCTCCCTCGCGCTCCCGTGAAACGCCCAAACCCACCTGGGGTAGTGGGGAGGTCGCGCGCCCGGTGAGCGAAAGTGTTAAGGGGGTTAGTGAAAGACTTATGCAAGGAAAAGAATCAATGGGAAGCTAAAAGCAAAACCATGGAAGAGGAACATAAAGTCTTGAAAACAGCTTTTGAAGAAGTTAAAGCAAATCTAAACATGAATGACTACAATAGGTTAGGTAAGGAAATCCAACAGGAAAGACAGCTTTTATCAGTACATATGGAGGAAGTTACACAGGGAACAGAACAGAACAGTGCAAGAAAGATATGCAACTCACCTATGCACAAGTGGCCAAGGAGAAGGATCACCCTAAACGGTGCTAAGCAGATGGAAGAAGTAATCAGGAACGTTAGAAAACTAGAAAGTGATGAGAAAGGGAAATTATGGTCATTAAGATGAGATCTTTCAAAAGAAGACAGAGAGAAGCTAAAACTGAACCTCATAATAGGCAAAACATCTTAAGGAGAGCTGGAATGAAGAAGAAGAAGAAATAAATTATTTTTTCTACAAGCTAATGAGGTAGGCAAGCCAGTAAAATGGTACAAAAAGGCAAACCAACAAAATCACTAGAGAAAGGGAAGTGAAGAACAAGGAGAGAGGGAACATGTTCTTGAAAATTGTATACACCAACATTGATGGATCGAGATCAAAGATACTGGCATTAAGTGATGTAATGCAGATGCAGATGCCAGACATTGTTGCCCTCATGGAGACGAAACTTGATGATATTTTAAATGAGGTAATATTCCCAAGGAGCTACTGAGTTTGGAGACGGGACAGAAAATTAGAAAAAGCGGTGGCATTGCTGTACTGGTTGGTGAAAAAACACCTAAAGGTAAACGAATAATAATGATTGCCAATCCACGAGAAGTTGACATAATAGCACTGGAGATCTGCAGTCAGCATGATAAACTAATAATCATAAATGCATATAGACCACTGTCATGCAACACATGGACAAAGGAGGAGTTGGATAATAAACGAGAGGGTCTTATAACAATAATTAC